TAGCAACCGTACCACATTGGCCAGAATAGTCCTTCTCAGTATAGCCAGAGGCCAACTCGTGTAATTGTTTAAAAGTTAAAATGATATAGTTCATTTTATTCTTACCATCTTTAACAATATATCTTGGAAATCCAAACGAACGTCGATATTTTTAATAAGCCGAGGTAACGCGTACACGTGCGGAAGCTTATGATGGCGCGTTTCCTATATACATTTTACTTTTCTCCATTTCACACTCTACTTTCTCACTTTCTTTTCGGTATATTTTATTGCTCCTCACAATCTCAAACCTTTCCCTTTGTTTCTCTTGCTTTACCTTTATTTATTTTATTTGTTTGCTTTTATTGTGAACAAGGATCTTATACTTTACGCAGATATTCACTCCATTTAAACAATTTCCCCTTCCTGGCGTTTACGTGTCTTTTTCGACGTCGCATTTGTGTTTTTGTTTTCTTGCTTACACTTTAAAATTTCCAATGTGTCTACATTTCCGCAAAGCACTCGGGGAGGGCCAAGCGCTGCAATTTACGGAGAGAGGTCGGAGAATGACGAAGGGCTGAAACTACGTCCCTACTTCGTTTCACCTTAAGTCCAGACGCAGCCGACACTACGTGATGATGGGGCTAATCAGACAGCGTCAAAAACGCACCGTCATGGTGTTCGTGTTTCTCTACGTGCTATGTAATCGATGGACCAATCGTGCACGGAAAACGCCTAGTGACCTGTGCTTTTTGCGCATATTGATCGGCCTGCGCTCTGACACCGAAAAAAGGTCTGCACTCTGACACCGAGCATGACGTTTTACTCTAAGTCGCACCCCAGGCTGTGTTTCTTCAGATGTAATCTTATAAACGTGTTTTCAGCCGCGTAATTTGTCGAGCTGCCTCCTTACCCATGGGCAATATACAAAACAGCAGCGACCTTAGCGGTTCAGGTGCACTCTGGGAGCAGGAGACTGTCAAAGGGTAGTTTAGGTGGGTGTCGGCAACGTTACTAAAACACCCAGTTGGGGACTCACTTTTGAAACCTAGACCGCTGGCGTCCGCCGAGACCAAACTAAATACGATGACAGCGCCACCCTTTGGCGACGAGTCAAAACATGAAAGTTGCTTTATATAGCTACAGCGAGATGGCCCTGCAAGATGGCGCCACCAGCCCTCGCGCGACTCGACCTGAACCAATACGTGCAGCCGTGCAGTTCCAGGAATGGCCGCTGCGGGAGAAATGGCGGCGTTGCGATCGCCATTAGTTCGATTCTCGAATACGGATGGAACCACTTTTTTCAAAGCAGGCTCCTATGGCAGTTTCCGTTGGGTGTCGATTTCGCCGTGTTGTGCAGCTGTAGTGTGTTATCGCCTCCGCACCGCCATTGGTTACGTCGTCGTAGACTGCTCCCCACTTCCGCGCGATGCAGTAAGTACTCTTTTCTTCTCGTTGTTGCATATCAGACAGAGCGAATAACGAAACAATTACGATATTGCTGGCACGGGGAGCGGACGAAAACGTCGCAACGGCGAAGCCAAAGTGAACGCAGATCGACGTATACGCCGAACACCGTGCCAGCTCAATGCATACATTTGTTTGCAACCTCGAGAACAACCACACTTTAAGGAAAAATGAACGAAAAAGGTAGCAACGGCACATTTTCCACCCTTCTACTGACACGCCCCTAAGCGGACACGAGAAGAAGGGAGGAACGAGACGTTTCTCTCCTTCTCCGGGCAGACGGGAGAAAGTTTTCGCCCTCCCGACTCATCTTCTTTCGGTTTCGCTTTTCGAGCACGTCGCACGCGTTGTTCAATAAAAGTTGTTGAGTTAATTGATTGAGCTTCAGCGGCAGCGCAGGCCGCCTGTAATTCCGTCTTCTAGTCCGAACGTGCCGAGCATTTCGGTTGCATTTACGTTTTTATTACTAATTTTATCAAACGAGCAAACGAAGCCGCTAGAAACAGCGAAGTTCTGAAGGAGTGCCAGCAGCGCAACGTGAACTGGGCTGATGGCCGCCTCCGGATTCCGGAACACACGCGGTACCTTGCGGAACACGCGAAACGATGGGTTCACTGTGGATGTGTCGACGTGCACGACGTAATGGAAATCGCGGAAACTGCGTCCAAGACAGGCAGGTTTTGCTGCCGGGTGCCTGGATGCCTCTGTGCTGAGTTCGGTTCTGTTTTCCGATGCCGAGTGCCGACCGGCAGTCAACGTGGTTCTGTATTTCTGTGTGTCAGCAACATAGCAGCAGCATCACGATGGCAGTGTTGTGCGTTGTGAACAGAATACTGGAATTATCGCCGATGTGACTGCGTGTTCGCGTATCAGTGGTGTATCAACAGGATGAGCTGTCGGTAGGGTGTCCTAACGTCCCGTTTTGGCTAGGACAGTCCCGTTTTTCAGGTCCGCTTTAGCCGTCCCGACTTTTTCTCCCAATAAAAAATCATGTCCCGTTTTCGCAGGAGTGCATAGTTTTAAAATTGGCACCAAGCGAGTTGAAGCAAACCGAAACTATACCTACTCATTAGAAGTATATTTTACAAAAACAACCGTAGGTATATACTTCAAAATATTTCAGCAGAGAGTGATATTTAGAAGTGTTCTTGCCCACAAACACTTTTTCTCTCGCGAAGACGCGTGTGTAGAAATATTTTATTGAGTTACTGGATATAGCACGCATGTAGCACCTCGGTTGGCAACGCTAGACTATTTTTCGACAATGGCAATTATCCCTCCTCTTTAGACTTCCCCTTCCCCCCTCCCCCCGCTGGAATGTTCCGTTTTCTACCTTGAGGAATATGGTCACCCTAGCTGTCGCGGGCATTGATGCCGCTGGTCGGGCCGTGATCGGAGAAGGCGGGGTTTCGCAGGTTTACATTCCGCTTTACATTAATGAGTCTAAGACCACATGAGGGATTAGGTTCGATCGATCGACGTGCGGATAGTCATGTTGGAACGCTGGTCTGAACCGTAGCTCCTTCGTACAGTGGCCAATGTGACTGTTGGTTGTCTCCTCCCCGAGAGCGATTGCTCTCTGGGGAAGGGACTGAACGAGAGTATGAAGATATGACGGAAAGTACGTATATTTACAGTTTAGAATTTTAGCATAAACAAATGGTAGGTAAATTTTTTTAAAAAAAGGTATTCTTTCTCTTTTTGTTTAAATATACTACAGTTCCTGAAGAGACTGCCCTCCAAGTGGCAGGCTGAAATGAGCACTATACTTCGTTTCAGCTTCGGTCCGAGCGCGGCCGATGTTATCAGCCGAAGGGCCAATCAAACAGCGCAAAAAGCGCAGCGTCATGGCGTCATGGCGTGCTCTCTGCACTTGATAGGACTAGCCGGCGGAGGAGCGCGCAGAGAGAGACGGCGAATACCGGCTAGTCCTATCAACTGCAGAGAGCACGCCATGACGTTGTGCCTCTTTCGCTGTTTGATTGGCCCCTCGGCTCATAACATCGGCCGCGCTCGGACCGAAGCTGAAACGAAGTATAGAAGGTTTCGAGCTCGCCAGGACCTAGCTCCGTACACCTTATACCTGACGCAAGTCGCGGCATTCAAGCTGATTAAAAAGCGATTTCTCTGCCCGTGGCGCATCATTTCCAGCTGAGTGAATATCCGCTCTACAGAGATCAATTTAAGATGACGAGTGCAGCCCCACACGAACAGGACAAATAGAAAAACAAAACACTATAGCATAAATACTGGTTACGACGTGCCGTGCGGGGAAAGAAGCGCATGGTAGAAACCGCATTGGAGCGGCTAGATTCATTGGCTTTTAAATAAATACGGCATGAGCGTTTACTTTTTATTTACTAAGAGATTCATCCCCTGAGCCGTTCAAAATACTCTCACATGTATCACATTGCTGGAAATAAATCAACATGCTGGGAATATTTTTTATTGCTTAGGCGGTCACAGAGAAATTCCGTGCGTTCAGAACGACCATGTATAAAAGGCGGAAACGCAGAGCTCGGAAATAGTGGTCGGGTTCGTGTGCTGTTGTATTGGTGTTTGTGTGTGCCGTGTCTGTGTATGCGCTCAATGTCGCGTATTCAGCTGATGCTTGTAGTATGCGTGATGGTCCTAAAGGACCGTTCACAATCTTGCGACCTCTTACAAGTGGGTTCCTTAAAACCTCTTACAACGAGAGGACACACTGGCGCCATCTGTTGGTTAGCAGTGTAAACCTGGCGGTGCGGCATGTTTTCTGTTTCTCTCGCGCATTATCATTTCTTTCTTGGCTCGAAAAACTTTTGTCAACGTTATAAACGAGCCTTTCTTATAGGTATTCCGCACATTTGGCCTCGGACATCCCGCGAAACCTTCGCTCTTGTGAAATGCAGCTCCAGGCAGAGATGGTTGTTGCGAAGCCCCTGGCGAGCTTCGCGTTTGCGTCAAGCGGACCCACCACTGCCTTGTCGCGCGCCATGTGGAAAAGAAACCTGGCTGGAGCTCTCGTTCGAGTGTTCAGGCTTTGTCCAGGAATGGGCAGTCGAGGTGGTGGTAGTAGCAACCGGGGACACGAGGTGGATGTGCGAGGCCGGGAGTTTCGTTCACTGTGGGGATGTGAAGGGCGGTGCGCTGATGAGCTTGCTTGAGGAGCGTGTTTCCCACGTCACCAATGTAAAAATGTCATGTAGGCTCTTACGAATATATAGTTTATGAAAATTATATAATATGCCTTAAATTTAAATCCGGACGAATTCCGTGTCCGCTCCGGCCTCTTTCTCTTTTCCCTCGCTCTTCGGCGGAACCCTGTCGGAGGAAGCTGCGATTTTCATTACGCCGCGCAGCCGAGGCTCTTCGAATGGCGTTGGGTATCCCCGGTGCGTGCGCGACAGAGACTCCTCGGGCCAGGAGTCCGACTTGCGTGCTGCGTCGTGGAAATAAGCAAACCCCCCCAGGCTATTCCGATTGCTCGGCGAGAAAGCAGACACCCTGGATTTACGAGAGTGTATGGTCACACGGTGTTCTCCGTTCTCTTCGAGGCAAAAGCCGGTCGGTCGGAATCGCAATGGGCCTCTCCACAGCGCTGGCCATTGTCCTGTCGCTCTTCTTCACGGCGGTCACCGGCGTGCTGCTCTGGCTGCTCAAGCGACGTCGCCAGCAGAGCCTTTTCCTCAGGCACGGCATTCCCGGGCCGCCGCCCCACATCATCTGGGGGAACTGGCAGCAACTGAAGGAACACAGGCTTCAGGTAAATCCTCGCACTTTGTCTCGAACCGAATGGTAGAGGCGTTGTCTTTGTTGTCTTCGTTTGCAATTCCCGCTAAATCAATCACGCAAAAAAAAAAAGTGGCTAAGAATTAAGGCGCATTGAATGTGCATGATTGGTAAAGTCGTTGATACGGAGCGCATCAAGACAATGAGTGTCGCTCGTTTAATTCCATCAGATTGTAGCAGATGCTGCGGTAGGACTTGGGAGTGCAACGCCGTATAGGTGAGAAATTTGGACGGTGCGGTAAAGGCCCTCAGAGATCTTTAACGCGCATCGTGCGGTAATACCACTCTCGTCCAGGTCGAAACAGGTACAGGGGCATGAATTACAGCCAGGATCCCTATAGACGTTTTCTCTTTCCTCTCGTTTTCAGTCACGTGATTTTCCTGTCTGGTATGCGGGACGAAAATATTATAAAACATTTCAACCTGAAATATGCGCGAAATTATAGGTGAGACAAAAAATGAACGTGTGACAGTCAGGCATTTTTTGTAAACACCTTTTAGCGGGGTGGAGAGATCAAAACGATGTTTTACCGCATACCATGAAGTGACGATATTCAAGATGGCTGCACCCTTGTTGAAAAGGTGTATAGGTTCTGCGGCGTCAGCTCCACGTGCTAAGAGCTGCCCTGCGTTATAAGACACACGACCACCGATCCCCCATGAGGCGGAAGATCTTTCTGATTGCCGAAGAGCTGCGCTTGTAATGTCGAATAAACGCCTCGGTTAATTCTTTGCCAAATTTGAAGGCGCGGTTAACAAATTTGATCGACTTCGTTGCGATGGCTTCGTGTGGCTACTGATTGATGAGTAAACACGGAATTCATTGTCATTTCTTCTTATTGCACCACTGTGCACCGTTGTCGATGAGGCTTGCGCAAAAATCGTTTCTTTATTTCGAGTATTAATTTCTGTAGTATTATTCCGAGTCTTTCGTGAAAAGTCCCAGGTATTCTTCTTGTGGGAACAGAATTTAAGACGAGGGAACTATATAGATTGAGGCAAAGAACAAAGAGCGCGCTGGCGAAAATACAAGAATCAAAGAAAGAATAAAAACACTAAGGGACAAGGACAGACAGCGCAGTTCTTTCAGCTAGCGACAAACATTTACTGATGTCTCCTTTAATACGTACAATCTCCCTCCCAACTTTCTAAACTAAAAAAGAAGATACATAAAAAAAAATATATATATATGCACTCGGAAAAAAGGAAAAAATATCCAAATAAACAAGAAGAAAAAGAGAAAGGTAATAAGAAAGAAAAACACCATGCGGTGATGTTTTTTGTAGGCGGTGATGGATACATTGCTCAGACAGGGTGCTGCCTGAACACCCGTCTACAAGAGCACGTCCTCGAGGTTTCTCGAGCTTCAAGCGACTCTTTTCATCCAATTGTTGAGCATAATGGGGTATTCACACGAGGGAGATTCTCGGGGATTTCTCCCCTTCGTGCGCATCACAAGACGAAAACACCGTGTTTTCGTCTTGTGATTCGTGTGCCATGGAGAGATGCCATGGAGAGAAAAACGGGCGTGTGCCATGGAGAGATGCCCGGATTTCTCCCTCGTGTGAATACCCCTTAAACACCTGTGGACGAACTGTCAAGCTCGGTTCCAGGACACCAGATTAATTGGAAGACACAAGAACAACCTCGGCCGACACATTTTTGAAACATACAGTCTAGCCGGTGACGAACACAACATAGCTGCTCCTTCTCTTGGGTAGTCCAGATGAGATTAACTACTTGAAGCCAGAGCTGAATTAGTCAAAGGGCTCATCTATCTTCATTTGTAAATGATACTTTTACAGCGGAACTGCCAAGGGCTAGTTTTCCCAGGATCGTGTCCACCAGCGAAGCCTTGATCACACCGAACTCTGGACAGCTACCGCCATCCATGAGTGACGGCGCCAACCAGACAACTGGTTGCCGCCGTCGCTCATAGATGGCGGCAACCTTTCTTCAAAGGCAGAGCCGTATATGGGGAGAGTTTGGTCAGTCTATGATCTCGCCGCTGTAAGGCTCTCCTCCCAAGTGAGCCAATCAGCACGCGGCGTAGAGCGAGAGGCATGAGCGCATGCGCGTGAACTCCCGGCTGCTCCCACCTGAGTGGGGAGGGCCGCCATCTTCGATCATTCTTCCGGCGGAATGCGTGGTATCGGCATCTAAATCTCGATTATTGCCTTTTATATCGCTGGCTCTGGCAAGAAAATGACATTCTGTTATTCCTCGGTGGGTTAAAAAGCTAATAAATTAATATTTTTCGGCGTATCGACACAAACTTTTATTCAGGCGAAAAAGAAGTCGGCCCGTAGCAGACGACGCGTAGCCTCAGCAGTGCTCCTCTCCGATCAGTCTCCGACAGCGTTGCTAAAAAATGGCGGTCGTCTCCTCTCTGCTCCCTTCTTTCTCTCTCGCTCCTTTGGCGCTTTCCTCCCTTTCATTTACTTTTCTCCTCTCCGGCGCCTTCGTCGCCACACCCACTGGCCAAACTCTCCCAATATAGACCTTTTCACCCTTCGCCGAATGGGCGCTGCCATCTTGGTATCACGTGATGCGGCCGCCATTAGGTTGCTTCAACTTGTTGCTCCGCTCTACCGTCCACGCCTTGGCGGATGCGTTGAATTCGTGTTTCTCGTCGCGTTTCACCGCGTCTCTTGCCTTACTCCGTAAAGTGTCGTCCGATACTTGTACTTACCATGCAATTGCATTACATCATTGTGCGCGCAACTTCTGCAGTTAATTTTGTAACACGTTTTGAATATTTTTTTACGGTCGGCGTGCGAGATACGTGTGAAAAGGCTTTATAGGATCAGAAATCGGCGTTAGCACTTGCGCACATTGAATACATATATGACTTGAAGAGAGCCTCGGTGGTTCAAATACCAATAACTTACGAGAACTGAGGTTTTGTTACTAATAAGGGCGGAACATTTGCAATAAAAGCCCAATGTTATTATATGGATGTGTGCGCATTGGTGTCAAGGGAGGAAACAAAAACACTCAGCGTAATTAGCCACGTGCTTTTCCTGAAAGCATGGTATTTTGTAGTATACAACAGCTCGTAAACAGTTTCTTTTGATTACACTAGGGAACTTGCGGACAAGACGCGGGAACAAACGCTTAGTTTGAATTATTTTTTTGTGCTATAAATAATGGTACCTTAGCATTAGGTAACTTGTTTGTTCGAAATATCACACCTATATCTGTTTTACGTTCTTAATCGCGTGTGATATAAGCATTCGCTTTATCGGTTTATTTATGAATTCCACGGAATAGTATATCGTGCTTGGTCCCATGTCCATAGTCTTTCAGTTGCTTAAGTCAGTTTTAATATAACCATGTAGTCTCAATTAATTTATTTCAACACTAATATTTGGACTCCCCGCGTAAGAAACTGTCACAGACAACTTGATAGTGCCTATGATTCACAAACTGTGACGCCGAAAAGAATCCTTCTGCATGAAAATCACCTGAGTGCAGCCGGTTGTCGACGGCAAATAGGGAGTTACTTTCAGTAGCTGACGACGTCAAAATGTGCACAGCGCATTGTTTGAAATCAGTGAACAGCTTTCTACACAGGTCTGGCGTTCGACTTCAGCCAAACGTATCGGTGATCATTTCTTTTGCGCTTTTCTATTCATTCGGCGAATTTTATGGAAGATGAATATCAGGCTTTATTTGAAGTCTGGCCATTCACTTATCTCACCATTCTCATACCTTGAGAACGTCGTAAGCAAATGTCCATATAAGAAATAGGTTATTTCATAAGGCCAAATTTGTGTCCTCGAGTACGGCCGTGGACAATGGTACATCTCCCTGTGCATCAGCGAAGTTATTTCATCGCCGAACCTGGCCGAAGTTAACGATGGACGGAATCAGACGCATATATAGTGTTCCTAAAAAAAGATCGCAATTTAGGCTCGAAACCACTTCGTGGTTTGCCAAGTGGCTCAATACTATTGTTTTATTCGCTGTGTGCTACAAAGAAGAAATTTATATCGCAAAATTAATCGAAAGTGGCATGAAACAGCATCACAATCCCGTGCACGTTGAAACCGAAACTGACCAATTTGAAGCAACCTAATGGCGGCGAGTGCGCCAGCGCCCTCTACCCGCTGGTCAGGCAACTACTGAAATGAAAAGGTCTATACGGCTCTGTTCAGAGGTAGAGTTCTTGTATAGGCTCCCTACGGGAGCCAGTGTTACGGGTTTGATTCCACGTGCCGCGTGCCGCCCTCGCCGCTATTCGCCGAGATCCGATTACCTGAGGAGCCGTATCAAGTGTCGTGCAGCAAAGTAGACGCTGCACGCGCCCCGGCGTACGTTCCCCGGCTTTTGAGCGCGCCGCGCGCCTGGAACGCGCGGCGCTGCTATTCGACGAGTTCAGTCACGTGAGGTGTTGTATCCACATGCCATGCATAAACGCGCAACTCTGGCTCCCGTAGGGAGACTATACAGGAACTTTATTCAGAGGAAGAAGAGCGGGAAGGGAACGAGCGGCGATGTGCGCAGTAGCGCGAATGGTTTCGTAACCGCCGCGAAGCCGCTGTCGCATAAAGTTCCACAGCGTGGAGCACTTCAGTTTCCCTTGCGAAAGAAGAGCATACCGCTCGCCTGGTAAGCCACCACCGAGAAGAGAAGCTACAGCTCCGCTGCTCTCCCTTCTTCACCAGATTGGAAAGGCTGAAAGTTTTCCTTTCTTATTTTCATTTTCTTTTTCTTCTAGTTTATTCGGCGATTTTTGTATTTTTCCGGATGTACAGGGTGTCACAAAAGAAAATTTACACGGTCTTTTTTACCGCAAAAATAAACTAGGCATCGCCGAACGCTCATTCTCCGCCCAAAGGTAGAGCTAGAGGTCACAACCAGATGCCAAAGTTTCAGCCCCATCCGATAAGTTAATCAAAAGTTATTAGTGATTTTCTGAAAATCTCAATGGGAAAATGAAGCCCATTTTCGCCCGTTTTCGGTTTCTGG